AAAAGCATCAAAACTGAGTGGATCAGAGACCCAATCCGCAAAGAGCCACGGGAGCTGTAATGCTTATCTACCACCAAACTGTTTGATGCCCAGTTGCTCAAGCAGAATTCCCAAATCCAGAACAACTCCCACAGCTGCCCATACAGCACACAGGTTGCAGGTTAAGTTCCGTGGGACGACACAGTTGGAGACCTTCTAAGCCACCTTTACTGTCCCCAAGATGTGCTTTTGATCAAAGCCATTTATTGGACTAAGTGTGTAAACACTTTCTCTGTCCAGAAATGGCTGGATCAGAATATTCACTGGGCAGGTGTGAGACATACAAGACAACAGCTGGACAAGTTGTATTATCTGAAAAATACCTGGAATCTGACAGCAAGTAGAGTGAATATTGAAGATGTAGAATGATCAGGCACACAGGGCCTGGCTTTATCACAGAGTAAAAAGTACTCTGCCAGAGTAATTCACAAATGCTATCCTATACATGGCTATTTATGATTTGTGAGGTTAATTATGGCTCCCATGAATAATGACAGTTTATAATCCAACCCCAGCAGCATGAAAAGAACAGAATAATTATATCCACGGTTAACAGAGTTAGCCAAGTTAGAGACAATGATAATCAAACTAGATGTATTTATGATTTTTTGGAGACCCCAGCATTTTACAGAAAGAATGGACTACGGGGGTATTATGGTCATGCAGATTAAGAGAGACAAATGGCTGGTAGAACCACATGTTGCAAAGAACTTGGTCTCCAATGTCAGCAACCTCCTACAACATTTTTCTGGAATTTGAACAGCGCTGTCTTACAAGAAATTCTCTAGCCTCCTTTTACATCTTCTCAAATAAGCCGTGCCAAGGCATGGTGCAGCTGCACAGATGTGGTCATTTCTGCTTTAAAGGTAGCCCTAGGCAAGATGTAAAGTCAGCCTAACCCACAAGGCCCTTTTTCCCCTCCTTAGGGGTTATAACTCAGGTTATAACTTTGCTGGAAAACAGAAAACCATGCTCAATAATAAAGCAATTTTATGGTAACCATGACCTCCCTTCATTTCTTCTTCCCAGTAAGTCTCCAATGGGACACAGTCTATGCCTGTTTCTCTTTTACCTGTATAGGTAAACATTAGCATCACTCCCATTCCTAAATTCATCTCAGCCCTCAGACTCAATGTCTAACTGAAGGCAGAATAATTGTCTGCAGCTTATATTTAGCTTTAAATCTTTATGGGTCTATTTCAGATCTAAAGAACTTGCAAACTTATCTATTCTTTTCAGCTCTGCTACTTTGCTATAATAAAAATAACACATAGAAGCATCACCTTACCTGTACATCCCTACACAACTGGAACTATAGCAACACTCAGCACCAAAAATTACTGGCATTTTATAAAAAATGCATCCTGAGCAGTGGAATTCAAAATGGGTCTCACTGCTATGTCACCTGTGAAAGACTTGGGCAGCCTGCCCTGTTCCACTGCTTCGCTGATACAACATGCACCAAAAAAAAGAGATTATTCAAATGCCAATCACTGAATTGCATGGCCATGGCACTGGAGGAACAATTTTTAAAAACAAGGTATTTTGATTCACTTATTGTGAAAGAAAATCCAGCACAATATATTTTTCAAATAGGAAACCAAGCAGATATAACTTAATTAAATCTGTATCCAGCATGTGTAATAACATGAACCAGCTGGGCAGAAGAGACAGGGACATTGTTTACATTTCTATTTTACAGCCAAGAGTGTCTGAAAAGTTGTAAGAAAGACCTGTTTTGCTCTGCACTTTGCATTTTTGGAGGTAGCCTGAAGATGGAGTAATGACTACAAAAAACCTCAGAAAACAAATAAATCCCAGTGGTGAGAGAATTCTGGTCTGTTGAGCTTGCCAAATCAAAAGACACATTTATATGTGCATACAGTCAGTTATGGAAAGTCCTAAGTTAGAAGCCAAGAGCAAAATTACTGAATTCTCATGAAAGACAAACCCTCATGCCCAAATTGCTTCCTGTTTTCCCAATAATTAGTACTGAACTCAAGAAGATAAAAGGCACATTTCATGGGAACAGAACACCTGAGAAAATCACAGGTATCATTTTTAATGCAGCTCCTGGCAAGGGATCTCATGCAAACATAACCAGTTTTACATTGCAATACCAATATTGCAGTGTCCTCCAGATCTCAGACGTTCACAACTGACGCACAATAAAGTACCAAAAGCTCTCTGCAAGGTGTTTGCAGCTGCTCCCTCAGCCACTGCCTCATTCTCCTCTCTATCCTAAGAACACTGCCTTCTAGGAGTGATTCAGGACATTCAGACCCTAGTTATTCTCTATCTTTACAGAGTTGGGCAACTTCCTCAATAAAATGTAATGTTTGGAAGTAACAACCGTTACAAAAAGCGTAGTTTCATTTACAGAGAGGCTGCAACTCTGAAAGATCCCAGAGAGCCTCATGAACTTTACATATCATATACTGAATATAGCAAAGCAGAGAGAGGGAGCCTACTGCAGAAAAAAAAATAAATACATAAAAGAAAAAAAAAATCAACAAAAAGGCTGAAAGTGACATACAATGTTGCCAAAACCCACACTTTACTTTTCTTGAAATTTGAGATCTCAAATGTTTCAAGTGCCTTCTGAGAGTTTAAGCCATTAGACTGCATTTGGGTCATGTTCTGAAGCTTTGGTATTAGACATATTGTTTAAATGAAAGCTGCAATTTAAGCAAAAATGATTGATACCAGAAACATGAATTAAAGAAAAAAAAGTATCTCAAATCCTTGACAGATTTGGCAATAACTACTACATATAGAACAGAAAATTAGCACATTTACAACATATATTTAATGTTGAAGTGTGAGTTTTATTTTATTGTTCTCCTTAGAAAGCTAATGATCCAGCTCTTTGAGAACTAGCTGAGGGTTGTAACCTGTCCTTACAGAAGCAAGCTAAAATCTTCAGGCAGTTACATAAAGCAGTGGCTAAACCCACCAAGATCTACGTGACAGATTTTGCTGGAATTCTCCTTGAAATATCCCAAGTAATGGAGTAACAGGCATATCATATTTTGAAAGAGAAAACTGAAAACTCAAAGACTGGACTCAGCATAAGTAAAAAACACCTCATATCAACATTCGCAACATTTGGAATATCAAATACCTCAACATGTCAGCTTGTCTCAGGTAAGACTGCTCTGTGTATGAATCTAGAAGGGGACTGCCTTAGATGTGACAAAACAGGGATTTTCAGTCTAAAAATATCAAGGGATTTTCAGACTGAAATTGCAATTTTAAGTTTACCCTTGAAAAGTCAAAATTCAAATTTCCATTTCCTCTGTCTTGTGGATTTGCTGTAAGTGCTGACCAGGAAAATCCATGACTGGGAAAACCTTTTCTAGTTCAGTAAATGAATCTTTGAATCTTTGTACAACAGACAAAATCAAGACAGCAGACCGATACAGCTGAGCAGCACAACTAAAGCATATAAGTCAAAATTCCATATTTGAGTGGAAAAACAAATGATGAAATGGACACAAGACAAAGGAAAACAACAACAACATAGGTACATGAAATACAGACAGGAAAAGGTCTATAAAACGTTCCTTAATTGAAGGGTAGTTGGTAGAAAATTGGAGTTATGAGCAAAGAAACTGGGGTTTGTGGTTCAGGTGTTACAAAGTTGAGGGGTAGTTGAGGGGTTTTTTCTTCCCATTCTTTGTAATTCGGTAGAATGGCATCGATATAAATCCCCAGCACACCGGTAATCAAACCACTCATTAGCATCTAGAACTGATTGTTTAGACACAAAAAGAGGGGAAAAAAACTTCTCAGTGAAGACTTAATTCAGAGTTTAAAGACATTATCACTCCAGCTTTTGTCTTTATAAAAATGCATCGTTTAGTCGTAATCTTGATTTCTCGTCTCATCCTGAGACTCTTTAATTGTCTGGACAGGCAGTCCCAGAGGTGGCACAGAAACTGTACACCTGCCAGCACAGCTTTCTCACGAATTCACATACAGCCTCTGCACCAGGAACTCCTGTTTCTTGTCTGTTTATCAAGGAAAGTGTTAAGGATTCAAGGTAGGCTTCAAGCCAGCTCATTAAGCGTATCAAAGACAAATTCCTAAATCTGGTCAGAGTGGATGCCTTGTGGCACCCTTTGGCACCTCGCCCTGCTGGAAAGGAATAAGCTGAATTTATATGCTTTTTCCCCAGTTGCAACCGACATTGCTAAGATAACTTTTTTGCCAGATACTACTAAAATGACTATAATTGTTAAAGGAATAAGGTTCCTATTGAATAAAAGGATAGAATGGACTGAAAGAAACATCATTAAAGCTGTTCATAATTATCTTCAATGTCTTATGTCTCCTACTTGACAAGTTGCTCCATTTCAGTACTTTATTGTTCTTAGTACTCTATTTTTTATGCTCTATCTATTCTAACTCTTCCTCTAAACACAATAAGCTATTCCAGTACAAAACAAGATACACTAATTGTATTTTCCATGACAGGTCTACACATTCCTCTGGTCTTGCTTTAAAGACGTGGGGAAATGTCTGAAACACTGTACACTTTTAGTAAGCTTCCAAAACTCTAAAAATCTTAGAACTGTAGATTCTTATCAAGATATGTGACAAATGTAGTGACTATAATTACCAACTTCACATATAATTTTTTACTTACCATAGTTTTTTAAAAACCTAAGAAAAACAAAGACAACTACAGATAATCAGTTTCTTGTTACTTGTTCTTTTTAGGTCTGCAGTGTCTACAAAACATTACTAGTACTTGTGATGTAATTCTTAACAAAAGTGTAAGTAATACTGAAATTTCCTAAGAAATGTAGGGAACACCAGATTCACCACTAAAATGTTGTCAGGTCAGACACAATATTAAAAAAAAAAAACAAACCACAAACCAAAACCAGGGAAAAAAGTGATTATACACTAGTCATGAATTGCAATATACTTGGACTAAATTTAATTGTACTCACAGTTGACACTGATCTCCTTTGATTCCCTTAGTTGTGCAGAAGCATTTTCCTGTTTGCATGTGACATATATTTGCATGTCCACTGCACGTGCAAGCTGTAATATCAAAACATGAAAATGAGATTTCTTCACCCATATCACACTTTAGAACTAAAGGGATTTTCATAGATCTTAATACTTCATCCTACACACATTTCCCACAAGCTGCCTTAAAATATATATCCATTACTACTTCAATTATAAGGGTTGTGGGTTTTTTCAGAAAATTTCATTTGCACATCATTTAGTTTATTTTCTGCAGAGTTAAAAATTAATCATGTGTCATTAAGGGCTCTCCCCCACACCATAAATAACAGCAGTCTGAGAATAGCCATTAAAATCTACTATTTCAATGCTTAAGACAGCAAAATATCAATAATAGGTATTTTCTGATCAGGGTAAAATCCTAACCAATGACAAAGTTCATTTAATTTCAAATGCCTAATTAAAGCACGGGTTTGGTAAAACATCTTATATCACTGGAATTCTTCCTTTTGACAAAGGCAAACAAAAAGAGAACTTTGAAACCATTTGAACAGAGTTAATACTACTAGCCTACAACAAGAATGTCATAGCAGCAAGAAATAGGCAACTTTACAAGCTCCTGAAGTTTGACCAGAAGAAGAATCACAGAAACATCATCATTACTATACGCCCTGTTAAGCTCTAGTAATTCTGAAGTAATTCTCTCCACAGTGGCCTGCTCACTGCCACTCTTGCTGCCTCAGAGATTCGCACCTCAAAACAAACCTTCACACTCCCAACCCTTTTGAGCTTTCTTTTTGCTTTTTCTTCCCATGTTTATTTGAATTATGAGCTTCTTTGGGCAGCCACCTTTTTTTCCCAACCAAGTGTCCAAAACTTAATACTGTCTCTTTGGGAAACATGTCAGAACATCCCCTCATCATACTGGAATGCAAATATTCACACTACACTCAAAGTCTTTCTTTAACACAAAGTAACTCTGAACCTCCCTTGACGATCATATTATGCTTTCCTTGAAATTTTTATTATGACTAAGATGAAAGATTTCATATATGGGGTCCTGCTAAGTGGTGACCTTTATAAGATAAAAGTTTATTCTCGACTTTACAATCTAATATTGAATGGCTATCAGAGAGACTGAGTTTTAATGTTCTTATTCTACTGATAAGGAATAACACACAATGAATCCTTCTGTGAGTGTCCCATCCCACACACACTTTCACCTGTCTGCCACAGCCCAAGACAACTAGAGAAAAAAGGGAATAGAACAGAACCACAATTAAATGTAAGATAGTATTGACAGAATGTGGCAATGTCAGGACTTCAATGGTTTGTTCAGCCCTCAGGGCTTATTAAGTAGCCAGCTGAAGCTGAAGGAGCAATTCTTACTAAGGAGGTGTTTAGGCATTCAAAGTTTCTGCAAGAAACACATACGAGAAATTTCTGTGCAGCACGTAGTGATGTGTGACGTTTTTCTCTCTTTCATAACACAACACTCCTGAAAAATACCTGCAGTTACCACAGAGTCCTACATTTTGTAATTTTGCTGTCACCTTGACAGTCTACAATGCGTGTTCATTGAAGTGTTGCTGCTATATAATCAGTTATGTTTTCCTAAATCCATTCATGTTTTCCACTCTACATTTATGGAATGGTTATTTAGGCCCTTTAAGGTGGAAAAGCCTCTTCACAAATGTTAGTTTTAATTGTGTAAATCTTTGCTTCACTTTCAGTGAAAAATAAAGAATATATTCTTAACAATTTACTCTGATTATGGTTAATTGCTCTTAATGGCAATGAATCATTATAAGACAGCGCAAAAGTTATAAAGGAACTAAAAGGGTAAATTCCAAATCATATTCCAAAAAGTGTCAATATACTGACAAATATAGAAGCTATTGCCATCCAACCTTAATTGATTCCTCCCACAATTATTGTTCACTTAATAGGAAGTAGATCACAAATGTGAAAGTGGGATTTCCTTCACTTGAGTAGCTTTTTTAGTGAAATTATTTAAGCCCAAAGCTATAAAAGCCTTTGGTCATCGTGCATCTTTATCACCTTCGGAGGGGGGGGGAGGGGGGGGGAGGTAAAAATGGATTATAGAGTAAAAGTAACAGATGTAGCTATATGAGACTTTGTGGGGAACCATTTCCTTTCTCAGTTCAGACATGACTTGTATACCCAGTCCATGAAATGATGGATAAATCAAGCTTTACAGCAGTACTTGTCCCCAGGGACACCTAAATCAAATCAGCACCTATACAGGGCCCTTTAGTGTTCTGTGTGCTCACTCACACAGCAATCTACAGGTGAGCCAGCCAGGAGACTCCTTCCATTTAAACTGCATCACGTTTTACACTTTATCTTTGGAACTTCCAGGATTCTGGAGAGTCATTAACTAACACAAAAATCTGAAAAAATTAATTTTCCCATAGACTCCTGTCTAAATCCTGAGCTGTCCGTATTCACAGCCCACACAAATAAAAGATACATGAATAATTTGGTCTCTCTCCCCCAAAAGGATGGATTCACATCACCAAAGACACCAACACGGCTGCTCTACCTCACCTGTATTTTCATGACACACATGAAGCTTCTCTAGTGCTAAGGTCAGTATGGATGGAAGAGGAGAAGAAAGGAGGAGTTCAGAAGTCTCAGACATTTGTTTTCTGGATCCTTTGTCAATGAAACAGCTAGCTCTGACAAGCCCAGCAGCTAATTTTCTTCTATTAAAGGATGAAGATAAATTACTCTAATTGAGCAATTTCTTAGTGATTTAACTGTTCCCTGGATAATACCTTGGAAAAGGACAACACTTTTGCATTTACATTTTTAAAATCTCATCTGGACAATTGTTGCTTCACAGCAATGAAAGCATATTTTAATTAATCTCAGGCTTGCAAGCCTATAATGAAAAATGGATTCCTACCCATCTGTGGCTCTCTGTGTGGAGAGTAACCAAAGAAAACCCCAAAAATATAAACCATTATTGCTGCTACTGAAGTAAATGTGAATACATGTCATCAAACAAATGCAGTAGCAGAAGCAGGACAATACTTTAGTATATTCAGTGGAAAAAATATTAAATGCCATTATCTTTTTGTCTCACTGCAAGTTTTTTTTCCATTGGCCTAGTTCTGAATAACAAAAATGAAATTAAAAGTTCTGAACATGAAGTATATTTATTAATTAATAAAAATTAACTTAAAGCTGCATTTGATTTCACAATAATAAAATATCTACATTCTTCCTTTACCTTGATATTTCCATACTCCTCTTTATGTATTTTTTTTTTTAATATTTTCTACTTGGTTTTCTCTGCTTAACTACTCTGAGCTCAGCCCAACTTCAAGAGTCTTCCCATACTACTGTGTACATTCAGCCTCAACATGGGTTTATATTAAGCACACGTCTTGGTTTAAACAGTTATTTTAAACGCTTAATTGCCATGTAAACTTTTTATCAATAATTATTTAAAATAAATAAATACTCTATGGCTTACAATAAAAAACGTCATTCAAATATAGAATTTAAACCTTTTTTTTTTTTTCATATTAACAGAAATTATGTCATTAGAGCCTTTAAAACGTCAAGAAAAAAACCCACCCTGGCAATATGTACTCTAATTTTAGGGAAATAGCAGCTCACGATACTGTTTTGTACAACGTGCAGATTCTATGAAATATCATATGAAAACAATACAATCCAGTAGAGTAAATCCATCCTGCAAAATCACAACACTACAGAAATTATTTAATAATAAATCCACAGTAAGATTGATTCTGAGTTGCTAGGTCAGCATATGAATGTTCTTGCTGATGCTGACAACAAAAGAATCCCCACCACTATTTCCATGAAGCGTGCATTTTAAACAATTGAATTTAAAAATACTTATTGCTTAGCCCCCCATCTCCAACATGAAGCTGCAAGAACAATTTTTCTCTCAAATGGAGCTCACTACAAATGGCACTTCAATATGTTTGCTTACATGAAAGATGGCTAAGCCAGTAGCTGCACATGGATAATTACTAGAAGACACCTTGCTGATGTTTTTTAAAGGAAGTTGTGACAGTGGTATTAAATACTGAGCTGTACTATTTTGTTAATTCTGGTAACAGGCAAGGCATAAGTTGCATCAAAAAAAAAAGTGATATAGTCTAAGCAAAAAACACCAAGTATAAACTTGTGTTAGATCCAACACTTTAATGCTCAATTTCACTGTAAATGCTCACCTATATTATCCATTAGTCTACTCATATGAGAACTACCCTACAGAGGCTATTTTCTACATTAGTAATATTGCAAAACTGTCTAGTCACTTAATTTTCCAGAAATGTGTATTTAGCAGGAAGCCCCTGATACACTTTGAGCATTCAACAGTTACTTTTATAGGAAATACATACATTCAACCTTTGAGACAGGCAATGTAAAAGCAGACGGATGTGCCCAATAACACTTTTGCAATATCACTAATTGAGTAGCCTTAAAATTAAGCTAAAGAACTTCTGTAAAGCCATGAACAATAAAAATAGAAGTGGGGAAAAAAAAAAAAAAAAAAGGAAAAATGTGCTATTTGAAAGGACATGCAAAAAAATGGAACTGTCATTTTATAGGAACACAATTAACCTTCATAATAAATCAGTCTTATTGGACTAATTTGCACATATATATCACTAATTTTTTTTTAATCTCTCTTGGTTTATCTTGTGATTTATCTGTCTTTGGTCCCAAACCAATTTATTTTTTATAGTACCATAATAGCACAGGAAAGAAAAAGCCATGTGTAATAACACAGTACTAAGGACTGTGAGACATAGAAAAAAGGTAAACAAGAAAAGACATGCTTTCAGGATTTATATCACTAGACATGGAATTTGCACAGGCAAAATATGCAGGAATCAACCACCATTTAAAGCAAGATCAGCTATTCCCACTATTCATAAAAATTAGATAAGCATTTTACCAGACCAATGCTGGATATAAATTTGTTCTGGAAAAGGCAGGTCTGCCAAATCACCCTGGCAGACATTTTTGTAAAGTTAGATACTCCTCACATCACAATTTTTTGA